TGGGCGGTAAAGACAGACTACCGTTTTAGGCCACATCGATGTGCATCTATTCTTTCACCTGTTCCTGTGGAGTGGGATATATTGGCCGAACAACGCGACTTCTGGAGAAGAGAATAAGCGAGCACATACCAGCCTGGCTCAGCGAAGGGGAAAATAAAGGGATCTCAAGCTCAATCCTGGCCCACCTAATTGATATGAACCACCAACTGGACGCGAGAGAAGCCTTTCGGGTCATATAGTGCACGCCAACACAATATTCCAAAGGCCTGCGAAAACGGGTGTTAGCCACAGCAGAGGCAGTGGCAATCCGGTTAGTGAAACCCACTCTATGCTATCAAAAGTCGTTGGTACAGGCAGTCTGCCTCCCTTGGCCGACTGCAGGCGGAAATCCCACACCTCTTGAAGCCACGTCGTCCGAAAACACACGAAATGAAGCCACAGAGAACAGTCAATCGCAGGCTACGCGGCTGGAAAACAGACCTCTACGCGCCGAACATGAGAACATCCCCCCTTTCTTTTCTGGGTATCGCACCTAACGTCCTACCCGCACGGACGCCCGCATTAAGGAGACGAGGGAAAACCCAGATGCTTAATTACACACACCCACCTACTAAACCCCTTCCTTCCCCCAGAACCTGATGATTATATAAACGCTTTTATCCCGCATATCGTGTACCGGCCTGATGATGAATGACCGAAAACAATTGTTTGCCAATACGAATGTTCAATCGTAAAATAGGTAGTTTCGCAGAACTGTTCTTATATTTTTGATTGTTTTTCGTTTATCTCTTACATAATTTACAGGTGAAGTCAAGTTTCATCCATGAGGGACTGTAATTCGACAGTCTTGAATCTGCTTCTCAAAGCCTCCGGCCGGCGTTTCTCTCCACTTTGTGGTGTTTTGTCAAGGTTTAGGTCCTGGTCAGCTGTCTTCGCGGCTGGCAGCGGTGCCGGAACATTCTCCAAGACTTTGTTACCCCAGTTGCCCTGTGGATAGTATTGGGCTACCATGCAGACAGTATGCTTATCACTGCTGTAGGCCATTCCGAACCCAACCAGCTTTGTTGCTTTCCAAACAAGCTGAGTAAAGTGCCCTGTCAGCGTTGTAAAACAATAAATTAACATAGATAAGTAGTAAATAATTTCTACCTACTGAAACAAAGTAAGTAAACAGTTATGCAACGGAAACTATAGTGAAACAAACTGTTACTCTGACATATTCTTAACCTGTGTGTTTATCTACTGAAGACATTTCCATGATATACTAGACTGGGGCTGGTCGGCCATGGATTAGTGCAATTATTTCTATTCAAACACTGACAAAGTAAATTTCGTTCTATATAAGCTTTCGAGCATTTTTCGTCTGCCCTGAGTTACGGCAGAGTGAGAACAATCGACACGAAGGGCATTCAGACATTTCAAAACCAGTGTTAACTACCGTTTATTTCTGTTGGCGAAATTAGAATGGGAAGAATGGGAGGTAAATCTGCCAGCGACATTAGTACATAACATCGCAGGATCTGTCTACTAGCATGTAGGGATTAAAATTGGCCAGGAAAACTGAAGAGTTTGAACTCACACCTTTTGCATGCTAAAGATGTGGTAAGTTTACTGACGCAAGAACTTGGATAACCAGATTGGGACCTCATGGACGAATCGAAATGGTCTTTTCTCATTTAGTCGATGGAGGCTTCGAACTACGTGAGTCAGAGTTAACTAGGTATAGACTTTCCATCCCTTGATCTAACCGAGCAGGATTGTGTCCTTGCATCTCATCACTACTTTTAATTGGCTTTTTAAACTCTTCTGCTTTACTACAGATTTAAGGCAGGCATGACAAGGAAGGACCAAGAAAGTGTGCTGATCAAACTTGGCACCACGGAAGATAACTTTATTCGCTCTGTCGACCATAAGTTCCTAATTGTTCCTTCTATGCTCTCGGCTTTTGACACTCCCACCAGCATTGTTAAACAGGATCCTGTTCTGATGGCACGAGCCTAACGATGCTTTATCGAATATATTTCAAACCGAACACCTATCATAAATATGTAAGCATGTAAATGGCGGAAACACGATAATGTATCGAAAACAACCTCACCGAATTCTCTAGTAATTAGGATATTTTCAAGCTTGAAAGAGTAATGAACTCGGTAAACTCACCACACTGCTGGATACTTTGTACGCCGAATTTAAAGTCCTTTATTTCACTATACCATGCATTCGAGGCATCCCGTGCTAAAAGATTAAAAATTTTGAAAATGAATGTCTTTCGGGCTACTGTGATCGCCGCCTAGTATTAGGGGGGAGGGGGGTAGGGACTACAACGACACGTGAATAGCTGAAATCCGCAAATGTTTGAGATGCGCCTACAAACGGTTGTTAGTGTATATTTTACTGTTTAACTTACAAATACACTTTAAACTATCTTCATAAAAAGCGGTACCATTGGTAACATACCCTTAATGTTAATGCCTACTTAGGCGAGAATTGATCCAGTTACCTTTATGAACGCTAAATTTATAATAATATTGTATAATCCGTAAGTCCTTGTATCATAAAGAGGCATTTATTCAGGAATATAAATAAAAATGATAAATGAAAAGTAAAGGTGGAATGTACGAAAAATAACTCCGCGAATATTGAACTGCGAATAGGCGGACTTCAACTGTGTTGCCTATTTCCTACCATGTATGAAAAAAACTTTAAAGGCGTGTCTTCGCTGAGCTATTAATCATCAAAATTCCTCTGGGTCAATATGGAGGCAACGTTGGGTCACAGTACTCGTAACTGTAAACCCATCGTGAGTCCGTTCACTACATGACGCATGTTTCACATTGGGGAAGCTTATTTCGATGTAACTGAGCGCAGGCTCTCCGCCAATGCTGACCAGATCAGACAGTGAAGGGGGGAGCAAGCGCGTTGTCAATCCTGAACTCCGTTAAGAAGAAGACGTAATCACTGACGTTATAGATTCTACCGAGAATCCTTAATCATAGGCAATGGTAGTGTAGTGGCCCTAGCAGCCACTTGGAACCCAAGATCTGACGGACAGCGCC